CACTTTGGAAACAAACGTGTCCAGCTGAAGGTCGGGATGTGTCCAGCTGAGGCCGAGCACCGTCCTGGGCCCCAGAGGACAGAAGACATAGAGTCAGTGTGGGGATGTGACACCCACCCATCCATTCAGCTGCCGCACGCTATTCATAGTAAGAAACCCAGAAGCTGGGGGGAAATTCCACTGGGCAGGGTGGCTGTCCGTAAGCAGAGGCCCAAGGGGGTGGCGGTGGCGGGAGAGGCAGGATCTCAAGTCCAGAAAGGCCTCTTTGGGCCCCACAGTGAATCATTACAGAAGCTTAATGCATACTGTCATCAAACTCACCAGGGACTCCGGGCCCAAACCTCCCTTGTGCCTGGTGCACTCGGCCGCCTCGTAGACTCACCCAGTGAACAGTTCAGGGGCTTTCACCACCTGAATCCCTTGCCTCTCAGTCCAGGGGCAGCCCTCCTCCTCACGTAGGTCCAATGGTGTTAACGTTCTGCCCCTTCCAGGCTTGAAGGTGCCCAGGCCCAGGCCCACGCAGCCCTTGCTGATTGGTAGTGACTGGTTAATAGACAGTGTTTGGCCAAACCAAGCTAACTATAGCCAGAGAAACTCAGTGCTGGGACTTTTGATCAAGATCTTGGGGGCAGTGGACTCCCCTTTCCCCAAGGGACTTGGACTCACAAGTGTATAGTACTGCAGGGGAGGGCCGCCTTGTAACCCTCAGGGGACAGTCAGTCTGAGAAGGTGGCCAGTCGGAGCACAAGGTATTGCTGGGAAAATAGACCTAGCTGTGTGATCTGGGACAAGTCACTAACCTTCTCTTAGAGTCTATTTCTTCAAACCTCTAAGGAGCATAAAAAGGGTAAAATAAAATAACAGGTATATAGCACTAAGTACGCAGTAGGTTCTCAACAAAGGAGCCCCCACAATATGGTTCACCCATGTAGCGCTGCTTAATTACAGGTACATGAAGAAGATATGTGGTGATAGAGAGGAAGGCCGTCCTGGCTCCCAAAGAATCACTCATGACAGGCTCTGACCCCAGCATACACCTTCTGTTAGTCTTATCAAGAAGCAAGATGGTAGATGGGACTAGGGACTGGGTGGCTCCATCGGTGAAGCGTCCAACTCTTGATTTTGGCTCAGGTCGCAATCTCATGGCGCAATCCCATGTCGGGCTTGGTGCTGGCAGCGTGGAGCCTGCTTGGGATTCTGTCTCCTGCTCTCTTTGCCCCTCCACTGCACTCTAAATACATACATACATACATACATACATAAATACTTTTTTTAAAAAGGAAGATAGTAGAGTAGAAAGGAGCAAGGGCTTTGGGGTCAGAGAGACCTGGGTTTAAGTCTTGGCTCTCCTGTGTGACCTTAGGCAAGTCACCTAACCTTTCTTTGCCTTGTTCCCTCATTAGTAAAATAAGGAAGGCAATGTCAATGGTAAGAGCATGATGCAGTGCACACCGTGCTCACTACGGTGCTCAATGAATGAGCATGATGACTTTCCTAGACCCTAGCGAGGGATGTTCCAACGGTCAGTCCTTAAGGCTCTGTCTCATTCCTGCCTCGCAGAGCTCAGCCGTGCCTGTGACCTCAAGTCCTTGAACCCCCCCCCCCCCCATGACCACCAAAGCTCTGGGTCCAGCCCCAACCTCTCTCCAGAATGCGGACCTCTGGGCATCTCTGCCAGAATGTCCTCCAGGCATCCCAGATCCCACACGAGGTCCTGGCTTGTCCACCACTCTTCACACGATTTGGGTCTCTCACCTTGGCTTTGGGTTCTTCACTTTCCCGTGAGCAGGTGGTAGCAGATCACTAGGAAGCCTCCGTCAGCCCTCACCTGCTAAGACCCTCAACCCCATGTCATCTCCCCAGACTCACCACCTTCTGAGGCGGCACCTCTATTGCCCGATGGACCCCAGCTTGAGAACTTAGAATCAACTTGGGTTTGTCCGTCTTGTTCATCACAGCCCCCAGGTCTGGGAGAGTCTCCTTCAAGATGTCCCCTACCTCCTCACTCGTCCCTGCTGCCATTACTGTCATGTGAGGCCACAGTCTGGACCCCTCCATAGGGACATATTGGATGGACTACATATCCAGGCTCTGGCACCGGCTTCCCCATCTGGTCCAGCCTCTGCTCTTCCCATCCATGGGGCCAGTGATCAACAAGGGACAACTTGTTTCCCAAACAGACTTTGCATCGAGGCGGGACCTCCTCACATCACTGTCAAGAACTGAACTTCACCGTGGATAAAGTCAGAGCCCTGGAGATTCTTTTTCAGGTTGGAGATGAGGAAAGGAAACTTTCATGGTGTTCATACCAGATACTCAATAAATATTTGTTAAACTCGTTCATTCTTCATGCTTTTCAAAACACATCGCATAGATGGTCATTTCCAATGCCACACAGATCCTGTGCGAGATCCCTTTGCCAGTCTCATAAAAGCTGTGGGCCTTTGTTTCACAAGAACACACCTGCATGTGACTTTCTGCCTATAATCTCAGAGGGGTTCCTAGACCCCCTCAAGCCCATCTACAGAGTGAAGTTGGCACCTAATTGAGCTCATTTTACAGATGGGGAGACAGGAATGCAAAGAGAGGAGGGAGCTTGTCAGAAAACACACAGGACACACCTCCAGGCACTAGGTGATGTCCTGAAAGTGCTGGACTCAGTTCTGGACCCAGGGCTCCAGGCTCACGGCCTTGGACAGCCCCTTCCATAACACACCTGACATCTTTGTGCTGTTTCCTCGTCCACGCGGGAGTGACAAGCCGGCACGGCAAGTCTGTGATGAGGAGATGGTGTATGTGCAAGAACCTAGCCCAGCCCTGTGCACAGAGGACAGTTCCTGTCCCGTTCACTTGCCCACCTTTTCTCTTCCTTTGCTGCAGGATTTTGGAGGACCGAGACAGCGCTCCCATCGAGAGCGGGCGCGGAAGTCTTCACGGAAGAGGAGAGCCGTGTCTGAGCCTCAATTTTGGGTGCTGGAGGGAGGCAGGGGCCAAGGGTTATTAATAGGCCTGGCTTGATGGGACCAGGGAGGGTGAATGTGATACAGACACCGAGCACCATGGTTGGGAAGTACCTGACACCGGAAGGGGAGGGGGCCGAGGGCTGGGGGTTAGCGCCGCCTCCCAAAATAGCCAGAGCAGAAGCCTATATAGGTGGTCACCCCACCCCCAGGCTCACTTCCCTGCAGCACCTCCCACCGGCGCAGCCTTTCAGCGAAGGTTCCAGCCCAAGGTGAGTGGCAGGGGCTGAGGCTGGAGGACCATGGAGGGATACAGTGGGGAGGAGGCCAGCTGGGAGAGACAGCCCCATTGCCCTGTCCTGCAGCGGCACAGGGCTGGGAGGGGGTGCTGGGCAGCTGTGGAGTCCCGGGCTGAGAGTACAAATGCCCCGGCTCTCCATCCCAGGGCCTGGTGTGGCCTGGGGCAAAGCCCTCCCCCTGGCTGGGCCTCAGGCTCCCCACCTGCGGAATGGGATGGGTGGAGCCAGACATCTGCAGACTGGTGACGCTGTCAGAGGAGGCAGCGGAAGCAGGAGGAAGGGTAGGGAGGGCTGGCGGGCTGACCCAATAACATCATCTGGTGCTCTGGTTGGGTGGACTCTGGCCCAGAGAGGGTGTCGGGTTGTTAGAAGGCTTCTCTAAGCAGGGAGAGATGGAGGAAAGGAGAAAGGATGGGTCTGCATTGTGACTCCATAGGTTGCCACAGGGGTCGGTGTTCCGGCATGGTATGTGGCACAGAATTGCGGGACTAGACAGGGCTGGGTCCTGGGTAGTGGGGAGGGGCTCCAAGGGTCACTGAATTCCAAGTCGGCAGATCCGGGAGGGGGTCCCTCTCTGCCACTGCCTTGCTGTGTGTCCTGAGGCAATTCACTGACCCTCTCTGGCCTCAGTACCCCCACCAGTATAGCATAAGGATCCTTCAGCTAGGGAAACAGACTCTCCAAATAGGCTTCTAGAGTGAGTGAGCCGAGCCTGGGGGGCTGGCTGAAATGATAGCACAGGAGCCCAGCATGTCCACAGTAACAGCTCATCTGGGCGCAGGGAAGGCAGGGGTGGCTGAGGGGTCCCCCGAAGACCTTGTGGCAAGAGATAGCATGTCAGGAGCTGCAGCCACTGCCCCTGGGAAGCCGGCTGGAGGGCTTGGACTGAAGGAGCTGACTCACAGGCAGGGGGCAACCGGATCAGCGTTGTCCTAAGGAAGGACAGGAAGGGCGGCCATCCAGGGCTGAGCCCAGGGAGATGGTGTTGACAGCCAGTGTGCCAGAACTCCAGCAGCTGGACAGCTCTCCCCAGCCGCCCCCACGTGGCACCAGCCTCCACCTCTGCACACCCGCCTACGCCTCCGGCTGGAGTCTAAAGATCCCACCACAAGGGACCATCAATGCCACCAACACAAGGGAGGGAGACAGAAGACCAGAAAAGGGGAAGGGCACTCCCCAAGGTCACACAGGGACTCGGCACAGCCGCAGATCTAGAACCCGGGCATCCTGACTCCCTGTCCAGCGTTCCGCATACTCTAGAGGCAGCTGGTCGCAGCCTGAATCCTGGGGAGATCGTGGGAAAGAACGCAGCTGGTGTCCGGCTGCCTTCGATTAGGAAGTGTCACACTTCCCAGCGATGAAGTTCAAGCCATAAGACCTGCTTAGCTTGTCTAGAAACTGTGGTCTGAAGGTAACCACCTTCTCCCCAGATGTGGGTCTTCTGGTCTCCTAGGGGGGAGAGGGGGGCGTAAAGATTTCAGGTAGCCCCTTGCCGCCCCACCCTTTCCCAAAAGGTTTGTTGGGGCAGGAGTCTGAGCTCACACTATACTCCTATGTTCCGAGGCTCAAGAGACCAGGAAAGCAAGTAGTTAGTGGAGATCTGAGAACAGAAAGTCAGACTAGAAAGAAAAAAAAAAAGAAGAAGATTCAGCGCATCCCTGGCCAGATGTGGGATGGGGCACCGGGAGAGGGCCCGAGCAGCGCCGCCTATCCCTGCCACCTCCTCCCAGCGTCCCGTGGGGTCAGATTTCCAGACCTCAGCGCTCAGATTTTGCAGCATAAATTTGCATCCAGGACAGACCAGAGCAGAGACTGAGGTAGGAGCGAAGAGAGAATGGGAGCAAGGTCACGGAGCCCACCAGGGTTCGGGCCGGGCCCCTGACAGTCCAGCGTCCTCCCCGAAGTGGCGGGACATCCTCCGAGGTGCAGCGACCAGAGACCGGCGCTGCACCAGGCTGGCGCCTCCTGGGTGCCCTTGACGGCAGGCGAAGCCTCCAGCCCCGCTGGTGACGCGGGCGCCCCATAAATTCCAGAGGTCGCCCCCTCCCCGGGCACCCTGGCCGCGGCCCCTGGGGCCGCCAGAACCTTGGGGGAAGAGGGTGAGGTGCGGGAGCGGCCGCGGGTCCGCGCGGCCGCCCGGCCAGCGCGGCGAGACTGAGCGGCTCTGGCTGCGCGACCAGCCCCGCGCCCCCTGGCTCTGCGCCAGGCCGGCGGGCGTGCGCCCGGCGCGCAGCACTGCAGCGCTGGTCATATGAGCAGAAATGATAAGAAAAGCACTTTTTAATCTTTTCGCACTTGCTCTGCCCGCTCAAACAGTTGCAGGATGTCGATGACAGACTTGCTCAACGCCGAGGACATCAAGAAGGCGGTGGGGGCCTTTACCGGTGAGCAGCGCGCTCCTCTCCCCAGACCTCTCCCCGTATCCACCACCCCGGCCCCCGGCACCCCGCGGGGCCCCACGGCGGGCGGGCCGGTGCTCCGGAGCGCTCCTCTGCCCACGCATCCTGCTGGGCGATGGGAGTACTAGCGGGGGGCTCCTCGGCGTTTCCCGACCTCCTCTCCGGCGGTACTTGGCGCGGGGAGAGGGTGGGGAGGCTAGACAACCGAAACTTGCCGGGTGGCCGCGCTGCTGCGAGGACTCGGGGTCCGGGACTAAGGGCAAAGACCGGGATCGAAAGCGGGACCTTCGGGTCTTTGTGGGCGCTCGGTACCTCCCGTTAAGGCACTTGGAAGGGTTGCAGGTGCGCGCGCCTTCTCTCCTAGGAGCCCCTTTTGGAGACCCTCTTTCAGAACAGGGCTCTTCCGGCTTGCGGTTGTTGGCTCCCTGACTGTCCAAGCCCCTCTCTGGGACTCAGAGCCCGCCCCCCCCCCGTCCCAAACAGCTCCCCCCAACCACCACCACCCACCCGCGAGCGGGGTGACCTTCCCGCAGCTGGCGCTCCTCCCTGCCGAACACTGCGCAAAGCATCCTCAGCGCTTACAACTTCCAGCCTCCTTAGGCGGCCAAGGGAGGGGAGCAGGCAGGCATCCCTGCCTCTCTGAGCTGCCCTGGGCTTGAGTGCTTAGCTGCTACCTGCTTCCTCTCTCCCCTCACGCAGGTGGGGAAACTGAGGCTGGGAGAGGGCCAGAAACTTGCCCAAGGTCACCTAGCATGGCAGAAGTGGGATTAGAACAAAGGTCACCTTCAGGTCTCGGTCCCCTACCTAGTGTCAGAGGTGGACAGAGCAACGTGACCCTCAGCAGGACCCCTCCCTGCCACACACCCAAATTACTCTAACATTGTACCCTGTCCAGGATTCCTGAAAGGGAGTGCGAGACACAGAAAATTGGGGAGGGGTTCTCCCATTTCCTTTCTGCTTGGCGTCCCCTCCTCAGGTATAAAGAAGCTCGGGGAGGCCACCCTCCTGGGGTCCTGGGATAACCCCACCACTTTTCCTTGACCCACTTTGCTCCCTCTGAGAAGGAACCTAACTGGGGCTGGGGGAGCCTTCTAACATCCCCCCCACCTCCCGCTGGAATGGATATCTACAGCAAAGCCACGATTTCTGGGGCCTCCCCCCTCCTCCTCCCACAGTGTGACCTTGAGAAAAACTTGTCCTCCCTCTGTCGATTTTCTGGCAACACCATCTGTGGCCGAGAAAAAAGGCTGACCGCACCCCCCCTCAACATACACCACGCCATGTTCATTCATACCACCACCAATTCCCTTGCCCACCTCCATTTGGCCACAACCCGACAGCCTTCATGGGACCCCGGAAGCCCCTCTGCCTTCAAGGCTACTTCTGCCATCAGCAAGGGGTACGGTGGAGCGTGGGGGCAAGTCTACCTCTTCCACATCCAGCTGTGTGACCTTGGGCAAAGCACTGTCCCCTGGTCTGGGCTCCTTCAGCCCTCCCACAGAGGTGCATCCCTCTGTCTCCCAGCGCTGGCACGGGGAGGTCAATCAGCAAATGTCGAGGCACCCCCATTCACCTGCTCTTCCCTACTGGCCCCTTCTTTGTCCTCATTTTAACCCACTCCTCTCCCCTGCCCACAGCTGTCGACTCCTTCGACCACAAAAAGTTCTTCCAAATGGTCGGCCTGAAGAAAAAGAGCCCGGATGATGTAAAGAAGGTGTTCCACATCCTGGATAAAGACAAGAGCGGCTTCATCGAGGAGGATGAGCTGGGGTAAACTGAGGCCCGCAGGGGCTGTCCAGGCTGAGAGGGAGTCGGGGGCTGGGATTCTTGCTGCCGAGTCCCCATCACATCTGCCCTTCTCTCTCTGCACAGTCGGCAGAAAATAACTATGCCTGACCGCCATTGCTTCCGGAAGAATAAAATCTGCAGCAGAAAGTGCAGCTAACTAGGTTAAATTATAGCCACTTAATATTGTTAATGGAATGGTGCTACTTAATAATTTAATACACATGAAGAGGCAGGTTTTCTAGAAGCCTAACACCACATACAAGACGGGGAGCACTACCTCGGGTATTTAGTTCATTGATTGTCATTTGCCTAAAGGGCACCATTCACCATGCTGCAGACCCTCCCCGTGCCCCCCCCCATTCCACTCCCCTACACCTCTATAACAGTGCAGCTAAAGCAGTGTATGGGCAAGTTGGGGATACAGAACCAACTTTGGGGGTCAGGAGTCCTGGGAGCAAAGCGGAGGAGGGGAAGGTTATGATATGACTGGGAAAAGGCACCTGGCTCAGGTCTGCCCACCGAGCTATGCCCTATGTCACTCTCTGGCCAAGACTTCCTTGAATTTCGCCTTCAAGAGGAAGGGAGTGGTGTGGAGAGAGTCCTCTCAGTAGGGACTTCCCTATCCATCCAGTCTCGCCTCAAATCATCCCACAAGGGTACCCTTTGTCTAGAACCTTTTCCTTCTACCTACTCTCCCCCACACCCCATGAACTGACTTCTACTTGTCCTTCACGCGTCACCTTCTCCAGGAAGCCTCCCTGACTCTTCTCCTCACCCCAGATGGGATGGATGCCTCCTCTGAGCACCCTTCTCCATTTCCTCACCGTTGCATCCATCGCACTGTGTGGTCTCTGAGTACTTGATCCCCTCCTCATTTTTGCAGGTGACTTCCTGCCCTGGGCTCCCAGTGTCCAGCATGGCCCTGGCATGGTCCTGGCACAGAGAGGATACCTTTGTGTTTGTTGTGTTGGCTCAATAAATAAACAAATGCAGGTGCCCTGCCTGCAGTGGGGTCTGCCTGTAGCCGAGGACAGCCCGTCCCTCTCTGCACACCCACCCGTGAAGGTGCCGCCGCAGCCCGGGCCGCACAGCCGCGTGCACGCCTGCCGCTTGCTGCCCGTCCCGGGTGCCTCTACCTGTCCCTGCAAGGTGACCTCTCTCCCTGGCTTTTCTCCCCAGATTCATCCTGAAGGGCTTCTCCCCAGATGCCAGAGACCTGTCCGTGAAAGAAACCAAGACGCTGATGGCCGCTGGAGATAAGGATGGGGACGGCAAGATTGGGGTCGACGGTGAGTAGCCAGGATCTGGGGCCTGAGCGCTTCATAGATCTTTGGATGTTCGGATGCTCGAAGCTCGGAGCTTCTCTGTCACATGAAGGGGGGAGGAGAGGTCCCATACTCCCCAGGATTAGAAGGAAAAGGCAATGCATTATGTCTGAGAGCTCTGTCGTGTAAGCCACGCACACACACACACACACACACACAGATGCACACACGCACACACACACAAAACTGGTACATTTTTTTCTAAACTTGAACAACCCAAAAGGAATAGATCCTTTTTTTTCCCCCCTGCCTACTGCATAGGGAATCAAGAGGATTTGGGATTATTTTCCCTGAATTTTGCCTGCACTTTTGCCCGAGTTCCGGTCCCGGCTCTGCTCAGACTGGCTGTGTGACCTTGGGCTGTCTCTCTCCTCCTCTGGGCCTCAGTCTCCCATCTGTAATCTGAGGCCATGAAGCCAACCGATCCCCTAGGACCCTGTGGGCTCTCAGGGGCTCAAATTCCAGACATGGAAATTCCTTATCTTCTATCCTCCTTAGCATCTTGTCCTGGTATCCTGTAACTTCAGTGAACAGACCTGTTTTGGCTTCACCCAGGTGTACTGTTCCAGCATATTGTAGGAGAGCCGGGAAAACAAGCCAGCCAGCAATCAGCTAGGAATTAGGAAAAGAAATACCTGACTCTGCCTTGCTTTTCAAGCTTCGCTTTCAGAACAGGTGGGCCGTCGGCGGTCCCTCATCCTATATGCTTCTCCACTGAGATGTAAGTCGGTGGGGTAACATCTCGTGTTAACCCCAACAGCATTACCTTCCTTAACATCCCAACAGCCTTGAGAATGAGCTCAGTTTTGCAGATGGGCAAACTGAGGCTGGAGGTCCTTAGCCTGTTCAAAGAGCTAGGACATAAGTAGGAGAGCAGGATTGAGAAGACCTCTTTCCAAGCTAGCTGTGCCACATCTCATCAGGGCCCTGTCAGTCGAAGGGAAAATCGTGTGCAGGCACTTGGCCTCTGGGTTCAAATCCCAGCCACTTTCTGGCTGTGTGACTTTGGGCAGTTCAAGGAACGGCGCTGGGCTTCAGTTTTCTCGTATCTGAACTGAGGATAACGATAGTTCTTATCTCACGGGATTGTCTGAGGATTAGACGTGTGCGCGTGTAAAAGGTTTAGACTAGTGTCCAGCACAGAGTGCTGTATTAACGTATTTATTAACTACATTTAAAAAAATGGGGACCAGCCCTTAACATCTAGTATTTAGCCCACACCTGGCTCAGAGCAGGCATTTAATGGACATCCGTTGCCGAGGGTCAAGTCCAGCCCCCCACGCTCGCTTCCTCCCAGCTATGACCTTGGCCTTGCCCCCTCTCTACTCCTAGTCCAGTCTGGCAAGTGAGGTGCATAGTTTTATCCTAAGACCTGCTTGGCCTCATTGTGAAAATTAAGTGGCTATCAACGCACAATTGCTCTGGGAAAGTTAAAAGGTGTGGCCGGATGTGGCTGTAGTTTATTCAAGTTGTACGTCAGAGGCCCAAATGGAGAGACCCCAGCAAGGTCAGATGCAGGGAGGCGCCTGGCCTGTCTTTGTGGCTGCAAAGGAGGGAGGTGATTTTAAAGGAGCCGGAGCAGAAAGTGCTGGAGAGAAATGGGTGACTGGTGATGGCGCCTCTCCCAACTCCCCATCCTCACCAAGCCACCTGGTGCCTCCCCTGACCCCAACCCAAACCTCCAGGTCTCCTGGTTTTATTTGCAGCCAGTAGGTGGGGGCGGGGTCCTTCTGGTTGGCTGTTCTGGAGCAACCTACTTGGATAAAAAACAAAAAAAAAAAAACAAAAAAAAAAAACCAGGCCAGATCCTAGGCTGCCTCCCTCCCTCCCTCCCTGCTGAATTCATATTTGAAAGAGCTAACTCAACTTTTGCGACTGATCTAACAGACATTTACTGAGTAGTAAGCATCTGCCAGGCGCTCAGGGAGGTAAAGATGAGTTCGACCCTCCTCCCAGCGGCGCTACTTCCTGGCTGGGTGCCCCAGAGCAGTGGCTCAGCAACCCTGAGCCTTGGCTCATCGGTAAGCTGGGCACGGACAGCACACGGCTCCCTGGCATTGGTGAGGATTCGTGACATGATGCATGTTGAGTGCAGCACCCGGCGCCTTCTAAGTCCTAGGTGAATACTGTGATACTATTTCTCTTTTGTCTGCGAGTTGCTTAGAGCCCTAGGTATGTGTATGCAAAAGGCCAGCGATGCCAGGGAGGTGGTGCGGAGGAGCCTTTTGGAGAGGGACTTAGGCAGATTGGAGGCTGTGTGGGCAGGAAGCCACAGTCTGGAGCCTGGGGAGATGGGGCAGCGGGGGGGGGGGGGGGGGGCCCGGGGGGTCCCTGCGGAGCTCCAGGCAAGACATTGGTTTGAGAAAAGGGATGAGGGCTGGGGAGTTTAGGGATGTTTAGAAAGGGGCAAGAAGGTTGGTTTGCTGGGGGTGGGAAGGGAGAACTGGTACCAGGGTGGTAATGCGTGCCCAGCCCAGTTCTGAACTCTGCATACACACGTCACCTGAGACAGAAGACGTCACCTAAGACAGAGGACGGAGGTGCAGGTGCTGAAAGAGCAGGGCCGGTTTTCAAGGTAGGCTGGATACATACCCAGCTCCATGCGCCCGCACAGTTCAAGCTCAGGATGACCCGGTGACGCTCCGAGGGCCGGCGCAGAACGAAGCAGGGTCGGGTAGGAGAAGGAAAGGACAGTGAGAGCAGATTCCCCCTGACGCAGCAGCAAGGCCCCTGCAGGGCGCACTTTCTCGAGGTGGGACAGATGTAGATAACCTCCCCTCCCCGCCTCTGCCCCAAACTCGGTACTTTTTCTGGAGGGTGCCGGCGAGGTTGAATGTGGTCATGCCCAATAGGGAGTGAGATGGGAGGCAGAGACCTTTGCGGGCCTGTTTCGGGCACCCTGCTTTCCTGCCTGCTTCCTTCTAAAGGCAAAGGGGGCCTGAGCCCCTGGCGGTCAGCTGCAGGATGCTCTCAACTCCCGGTGGGGCCTGAGGCAAGTCATGGAAGCCCTCTGATCTTCAGAAGCCTGCTCTTTAAAATCAGGAGTCGATCATTAGCCAGTCACTGGAGCCCCTTCCTTGGGGGGAGCTCCGTGGCCCTGGGGTTCCGCAGCGGCCCCAGTGAATAAACTTCTAGACCGAGGACCAGGTGAGCCTGCGCCACTGTGAACAACAGTAACATCTAACTTCATGGAGCACGTACTGTGTGGCAGGTACTGTGCCTGGCATTTCACGCATCCAATCTTCCTCGCTGTGTTTGAGGTGGGTACTATCGCTACCCTCATGTCATAGACGAGGACCCCAAGGCTCAGAGAGGCTAGGGCTCTGCTGAAACGTCCCATCTCAGGAAAGATGAGGTCAGGATCCAAGTTCATGTCTGCTGGACCCAAAACACACGGCCTGTGCTGTGTGCTTTGTTCATTTGTTGAGTTCAGTAAGCATCTGCCCTGAGATAATGCTCCATATTGACTTATTGCTTGGTTCTCTCTCCTCCACTGTGAGGTCAGCTCCTTAAGAGCAGAACATTTGGTTCAGTTCTGTGCTGGCTACCTAGAATAGGGTCTGGCCCACAGTAGGGGCACAGGGACAGTTTTGAATGAATGAATGAATGAATGAATGAATGAATATGTGGCCGGCTCTGGGGATGCAGTGATGAGGAAGCGTAGCCTGTGGGGAGAGGTCTGCAGGCGAAGGCGGGAGACCTGTGTGGGCTGGGGGCTTGCATGTAGCAGGTGCTGGGGGATTCTAGAGGCAGGACCACCTTCACGTCCCGCTGTTTGCCCTCTGAAGGTGAGTGATGCTTACCAGGTCCCCTCGAGGACCCCAGATCGAAGGGAGGGGATGGAAAGGCAAAGTTCTAATAATAACCCTTTGCATTCCCATCTTTGGGTCACCTGCTTCCAAGAAACTCAAAGACTTTTATAGACGTGGTCGATTGATTCTCTAAGGCCACCCCTGAGTGGCTGGTGCAGGGCTGGCAGAGAAGGGTTTTAAGGCGGAAAAGGAGAGAGAAGCTGGACAGAGGGGGAAGGTACCCCTGAACCCGGCCGCCGTGGCAAGACCCAGGCACAAACAGCAGGCGAGGCCACTAAGTGACAGGCTCTCTCTGAAGCGTCTGTGCCTCACATTGCTGGGTCTCAAACTGGAGCCGACGTCGGAATCACTGGAGGGCTTTTCACCGCACAGCTGGCTGGGCCCGACCCCCAGAGTTCCTGAGTCCTTAGGCCTGGCGTGGGGCTGAGGTGTGTGCCCTGCCCCCAAGTCCCCAGGTAGTGCTCCTGCTCCGGGGACCATACTTTGAGGACCATTGCCTTAGAAAAATCCTAGAAGGTAGGTGCCATCACACTTCCCCTTCTGCGGATGAGGAAAGAGAGGCCCGGGGAGGTCAGGTGATCAGGGTCATCAATAGCAGAGACAGGGCTGCGGCTCAGAGGTCCAGCCAGGACCCCTCCCCCTCATCCTTCTACCCACCCTGGCCTCCACCTTGCCTCTCACGCCAGACATGTCCCCAGTCTGGGCTCTCCTCCCGTGCAGGCTGATAGGAGGAGTGGCTACTTACCACCCACACATGCATGCACACGCACACGCACGCACACACATGCACCAGTTCCCTGAAACCTGACCCCTCAGATGGCTCCTGTTTCCGAGCTTCCAGGCTATTCCAGCTCAAGAGACTGTTTTGCTTTCTTGCTTCGGTTGCTGAAGCATTTAGCCATAATTACCCCTGGACCACTGCAGTCTGCTCCTCTCATGTGCCTCGAGGCGTTTGCCTTTTCTGCTTCCTTCTGGCGAAATCTGTTCTCTTTTATCCTTAAGCTGCCCATTTAACATGGCAGGCGGGTGGGAGCTCTTGGGCCGGAACAGCTAAAGTCGGGCAGAAAATACAACCTGCGTGCGATGCGAGTGGCGTGGGCGGCCAAGCCCTGTGTTCTCCCTGGCCATCCGCCTCCTCATCCCAAAGATGGG